GATGGTGGGCAGCCAGAAGAAGCACCACGGCGGCGGCATCCCGGGCAGCCTCAGCGGGGGCATCGCGCACAACAGCGGAGAGGTGACCAAGACCACCTTCTCGGTGAGCGTGACCGCGCATCCCTCTGTCCGTCCCTCCCTCCCCAGCCTGGCAGGGCCCTGCGCTGCACTGACACAGCCTGGCATCCCCTGCGCAGGCAGTGGGTGGGGGGGTGAGGAGGAGATCTGAGCAGAGCGGAGCGTGATTTGATGAGTGCTGTGTTCAAGCTGAGTTCGTTTTGTGGAAGAACTGAAGATGAGCTTCCTGGGGTTTTCAGCCCCAAAGTATGAAGGAGATATAAAAGAAAATCTAGCCTTACATGTTTTGTAGATGCACAGGCTGAGAACTGCGGGCAGCATAATTCCTCGTAGGATGTCAGGTCTTACGAGCTGCTGGGGAGGAGCTTTGCTCTTCAGCGTGGACCGTTCTCTGCTTTCAGCCCCCCGTACCAGCAGCTGCTGCCAAGAACCAGTCCCGGAGCCCCATCAAGCGCCGTTCAGGGCTGTTCCCTCGCCTGCACACGGGCTCTGAGAGCCAGGCGGAGAGCAGGACGAGGTGGTAAGTTTGACATCGCCCTGGTAACTAAGGTTAAAACCCCTATGGAGTGTTAAACGTCAGAGAAGCTGTTGGTGGGTGCTGGAGACCTTGCCTGGGGTGCAGCCTCGCCTTTGCACACAAGCCAGCAACGAGAGCTGCTTTTGCTGTGTTCGAGGGATGGTGCCTTGGATCCCTTCTCTCTGTTTCAAATCGAAGTGGTGGTATCCAGAGAGCACCTGTTACAGTTTAGCATTTGGTGTTAGGGAATCTAATTTGACCATCCTTTTAAAGTCTCTTGTGTAACTCGCACATCCTATCTCTCTGTGTCCTCAGCGACAGTGTTTCTGGAGCCCAGAAGACACCAGATTTGGGACATTCTTCTCAAGAGATGAAATCTGAAACCTCGTCCAACCCCAGCTCCCCTGAAATCTGCCCCAACAAAGACAGGTGAGCCGGGAGGAGCCCTGGCCTCCTCCGACCAGAGTTCACGTCACCCTGTAGCTGACAGACCATCAGGAACTTTGTCAGACAAAACCATCTCCAGGTTTTACTATAAATGTTTGATATTAAGGGAGGAAACAAAATTATTCTCATGATTCATGAGCAAAGCTCCTTTATGGTCTGAAAATAACCGTCTTTAGAAAGAAGAAGAGCAAAGAGCAGTGTTTGGCAGAAGCTGCCCTAACCCTCACAGCACGTGAGCTGGGGAGGCCCGTGGTGCCCGTCCCTCCCTGCCACCGGGGACTCAGCCTGGCTCAGGGGTTTCTGCTGGTGGCACCCACCAGCTGCTCTACCCCGAGCTCTTGGGAATGGTTCGTTACAGAAACCTCCTGCTAGGTTTGTCCCTGTGGCAGCTGCTTTGCTCCGGGGTGCGCGGGAGGCTCTGTCCCTGCTGTCGGCTGAAGGACACGGCTCTCCCGGTGACAACCACGCGCTCTCCGGGTTTCACCTCTCTTCTAGGCCGTTCATTAAGCTGAAAGAGAACGGGAGGACAAACATCTCCCGCTCCTCCTCGAGCACCAGCAGCTTCAGCAGCACGGCGGGCGAGAGCGAGACCCTGGAGGAGTACGACAGCGTGGTAGGCACCGAGCCCACCCTGCGGTGCTCGGGCTGGGGACCCCGCAGCTCCACGCACCCCTCGGCTTGCTGCTGCCACCAGACCCCTGGGTTGTCTCTGTACTGGGGATGTGTCCTGCTGACACTGAGGGGCTCAACCCGGCCCCGGGTGCGGGGAGGAGCAGGGTCGGGGTGCTCGGTGGGACACCCCAGAGAGCCTTGCAGAGCACTGGGCAGCGCTCAGCATGCCGGGGCGCGACGAGCTCCGTCAGGACAAGGTCTCCTGTGAGTGGGCGCATCACAGGGCTCTGATGAGCAGGGGTGCGACGAGGCATCGGCAGGGTGCGCAGGACACAGCTGTGCCCTGGTCTCTCCCCATGCAGGGAAGCCAGCCGTCCACGGCCTCGCCGTTCAAGCAGGACGTCTTCGTCTACAGCGCCTCGCCCGGCAGCGAGAGCCCCCCCCCCCCAGCCTTGCCTGGGCTGCAGGCAGCTGCTGAAGGTGATGGGGCCGTGTGGTGGCTGTGCTCGCCCTGGCAGGACGGGCATCCTGCGGGATGTGGGGCAAGCCCTCACTCGGCCCGAAGCCCTGATCCCGATGGGGCTGCTCTGGAGAGGCACCCACATGTGCTTTAGTTCTGTATTTCCACCGGGAGTTTGTTTCCCTTCTAAATCAGAGCACAGAAGTGGCTTTTGCTGTGGCTTTGTTCGCTCCCTTCTCCCCTGACAGACATGTGCAGTAGTCGTGGAAACTCGCTGTCTCCAAGGACCGAGCCATGACTCACAAATTATTTAATAAACAAGCAGCTTCCCTTGCTTTGGCTCCGTTACCCCTGCTGCTAAGTTACTCTGCTGCCGACTCCAGCCGCTTCAGTCGGATGATTGGCAAAATGAGGTGCAATTCGACAGGGTAAAATTGGCAGAAGTGGGCCCTTTGTTGGTGCGTGCTGCGGTGACGGCACCGCTGATGACACGGTGGGGCTGGGGCTGGGGGGTGTCTGCAGGGCTCGCCCCTCGCCAGCAGGTCCCCGCGGCTTTGATTTCCTCATGCAGCCGAGCACCCGCTGGAAGGCACCAGGGTCCGAATGAAAACACACAACGTGGGCTTAGGAGCCGTTTGTGGAGCAGCCAGGGAGGCACAAATCCACCCCGCACAGCTCCGTGGCTGGGAGCAACATGGGGGGAAAGCTGGGCGGCAGAGTGCGGGCTGGCTGGCTTTTTGTATCTCAGCACCCCACAGGTCCTCCTCATTGCTTCATCAGCAATTTTCTGAACTATTAATCCAGCCCTTTTTAATGTTTAAAGTGTTTATTTTGTATTTTTCCTGCCAAGAACATGGAAATCCACCAATACATTATACGGATCAGTCATTTCTTGTAGCCTTTTCAGTGGCATTTCCAGTAGAAAGACTGTGAAATGTAATTAAGCCTCAATTTGTTCCATCAAAAACATTTAATGTACAGATTTTGCCAAACATTCAGCCAAGATAGACTAAATATTGGTAGCACTTGTGACAGTCTATTGAAGTGCCTGGCTGTCAGGCTGGTCGGGTGTCAGTCAGCGCTACAGCTTCAGCAAATATTTGTGTTCAGAGATTATTATTTTTCTTCTTTGCATTTCCCCTCCCTCCAGCAGATATAAAGAACAGAAACTCTCCAAGGTCAAACCTGAAGTTTCGCTTCGACAAGCTCAGCCACGGCAGCTCCTGCCC